TATTTTCTGATGAAACACACCAAGAGTAAATTTCAGTGTACTCATCAAATTTATCAAACAATTTTATTTCTTTAATCGAAGAATATTTCGTTTTAGAAAAATTACAATAAAAACTGTGTTACTCGTATTTAACTTCTCAACTTATTTCATAGAGAGCTTTGTTTGTGAAAAGTTTGAAAACGAAACTCGACAATCAATTTTTCACGTGATCCGAAGGAACCATAGCTTTTTATTGAAAAAACTCAGTGAAATATCGATATCCTAGAGAACAAACGCCAATAAAACTAAATCATTCGATACAACTCTTCAGTCATGTTCGAATTTTCAAATAAAAAACAAAAGAAAATTTGGAAAGTTATCATCTTGTATTGCAGTCAGATTTTTGAAGTTTTCTTTTTTTTTTTGGCACACGTAAGCATATTTCGATTTAGCCAGAACAATGTTAAAACGTAAGAAAAAGCAGACAACTACATTTGAATATATGTATTATGTAGATTGGTAAAAGGAAAATCTTAGAAATTTATCATAGTTATCATAGAAAGACTTAAGCTTAAATCTAATTAAGAAATTTTTTATCTGATCAAAAACCTTTTCTTTCTCACATTTAAAAAAAGCTGTTGACTAGTTTACATAAACAAAGAGTACAAATTATTATTTAACTCTAATTGTTAATTTCTTTGACCATAATACCGGTACCAATAACATTATTAGTTGATATCGACAAATTTTTATCATCAAATGCTATAAATTCAAGTCGATTTTCATCAATTTTATAAATAATAAATAGATCTTGATCAGAAAAATTTTCACCTTCAATCAAATGTTCACGAAAATATACTTCTTGATCTAATTCTTCTAATCGTTCTAATCGACTTTTACCACCAAGACCAACATAATCAAGAATATATGAATTTGTTCTTGAATCTACTGTTAATTGAATAGGCCATGTAAAACTCGTATGACCCCAACCATGCCAAACACCATCAAGCCAAGAACGATTAATTGTCATTAAAAAAAACCTATATATATATATATGTCGGCAAGTAAAAAAAGTTGCAAACAAATGTGTATTTGTCTACAGGTAAATGTTTTTATCGGGTTCTTTCATTGAATGCGTGGTAGATATAAGCAAAAAAAACAAGAGAAAAAAGAGAACATCAAAGGAAATGACTCATAAAATAATACGTCGTTACATTTTGTTACATACCGTGGTAAAAGAAAAGCAAGTTAAGAAAAAGAATAAACCAAGAAATTTCAAAAAAATGATCATTTTTTTTTCTTCTTTTATTACGTTTAATGTAATAAACAGATTGTTAGAATAACATTTTTACTTGGTGTATGTTAAAGAAGAGATTATATATAATAAAATCTTTGAAATAGAAATGAGATTTTAGACAATTTCTTTTTTTTTTTTTCTTTTATAATAAACATGTACTACATATCGTGACAAACAAGTAATGAAAATAAATAAGAGAAAAACTAATATATAACTGATATAAATAGCATTTCATTACAATGTCAAACAAAAATCAACAGATTCAAGTGTTTTTACATTTGTATGAATCATCATATCAATATAATTGAAATCTAATAATGCACTGAAGATGAAACTCATTTTGAAAATCTGATATTAGCATCACATGAAACATTTTTCTATCATAAATGATTGATAGTATTTTAATTTTTTCGATCAACTAAAATTAGCGAATTCTTTTTAGTGACATCTTACCTTAATATTGTTGCCTAAAAACATAAAATATGTAGATGAATATACTATCGGATTTGTCTCTGACACAGACACCTTTTTGACTACCATTTGTTGACCACTTCAAGTCCGCACGAATCTCGACTTGATACAATAGAAACAATTTACTGTATTACTACTACTTCGAAATTGATCTATAGTGATTCAAGAGAATATTTTAGTCGGAAAATAGCAGTTATTTTGAATGGTAGATTAGTTCAATTATTTTCTTTTACTTTCTTCTTATATCCTATTGTCAACGTGTTTGAGATTATGTAATGCATATTCAACATTTACATGTACTGTGAAAAAAGTTTTTTCTTTCAACAACGATTGCCTTGTTACAAAGCACTGTCTCAGTAAAGTGTAATGTAAGGAGACATCTATGGTTTCGAAACGAATGATTTTTTTTTCATCGTGTCGACGCCATCGATTTATGTTACTAGTATACGTTACTAAGTATCCCTAAAATATACTGTGAAGGATAAGTGCCTAACTAAGGTTATAATTACAAAGCACGAAAGAGAATATTGTTAGAATTCCGATGGATCCATGATTGACAACAAGTGTTTCCATATACTTTGGACACCTTATTTATCTGAAAACGATTGGATTTGATTCATTGATGTTACCTCCGTCAGTGTACCAAAGGAATCTATGTAAAAAGGTGAAATTCTCTGTAATACTATACATATCTATCATCGAAATAGAATTAACTGAGGTTTGTGCAGACAGCCAGTGGTCATGTCAGAATTCATACATTGATATCATAATTTCTTTTTTTTTATGAGCTTTTCATCAAATCTAGATCCTACATCATGAAGGATATTCAACATTGATTCGTACTTCTCGCCATGCTTCAATATTATCAGATCATGTACTAGTACACAACTAGTTTACATTTAACAATACCAATGACATCTCTAATTTTATTATTTATGATGTTAGTTATTAACGAATAGTAAAATTATAGAAGTCATTGAACTTGTTACATATAAAGGATTGTATTCACTAGAAGATTAATGTTACATTAAGTTCAAATTAAATTGACGTGTGTCTTCATCTATTATTATAATTCATCAATCCGAATTCAGAGGTTGCCACTAAAAAGTAATAAAAATACTACGTAATATTTCAACATTTCGCCAAACGATATCGTCATCGATGTCTTACCTTCATGATACATCAATTAATTTTGAAATCTCTTAGCAAGTGTTTTTACAGGTCTCGTCATCAACTTTGTCAAAAAAGTTCTTAAAAGTTATTTGTTTTTTATTCTTATCTTTTAATCCTTATTTTAATATAGTTTGTAGTGTATCATGCCAACTACTTGCTGCTATCAATGTTTATAACGTTAATTCCATTCATCAAGGCAAATGTATTATTTTAATTATTGAATCAAATTTTTCTTTGTAGATCAATGAATTCAATTTAAATCGTCCCTTGAAAAGTGCAATAAATTCGGACTAGTTTTTCTGTCTATTACGTTTCTTAATGTAGCATTGCATTTTCTAGTGAAGACAAGGCTGTAAATGGGTATCATGCCTTGATGATATTATTCCTAATGATGATTTCTCAAAAAAAAAAAAAATATATAAAAGCTCGAAAATATTAATTTCTGTTTAAAATTTTAGTGAAATATTAATCTAAAACGGTTACATATTTATTTTTCTCTTATTTACTGCCAATCTTAAAATAACTGATCAAGTTTTAAAATGGTCAGCCTACATCTGAACCACCACACTCCTATTTTCAAAGGAAATTTTCACTGTGAATCTCATAATCGCTACGATGTCAAGAGACATATTTGATTGGTTGTTTTTATTCTGGAATGAACACACTCTAAACATACCTTAGATATTCTTGACGACGATCATACAATAACCAAGTCATAATTGGCTGCCGTCTTTAAAGTATAATTCGTTGGGTTGGTTCTTAGCTAGTCAACAGAAAACTCTTCGACATGACCGAGTCTGAGACAAACTCAACGAATTCTAGAGTAACACTATCTGAGATCAATCCAACCTCTAAACTGTAAATATTCTCAACTATTTTTGAATCAATTAGGAATTATTTATTCAAGCAAATAACATATATCACAACTCAATAGATAATATTAATAGAGTATCAACAAGCAAAGTGAAAACACAGTATTGTCCTAAATTTGTTAAGAGTATCCGTGAGTTATCTCAAAATAAACGAAATTGAAAGACTAAATCATTTTTATCGATACCAATTTCGATAGATATTTCTATTTTATTGAAAGAAATCAGATATATTGATTGGAACAGTGACGCGACAACAACAGATTTTGTTTTTTTTTTCTTAAACATTACAAAGTTGTGTGAAGTTGCATGAAATTTCAGTATGGACAAATGTAACACTCGGAGACTTCATGGATCTCGTGGGTTAGTAACGACAGTTCTGACTTATGCGAGAAGTCTTCTAGCTGATAGAGCGCTTTAAGCTGTGCAACTATTGCACTTTTACCATATTTTTAATAAATACCGTGCCACTCCTCCAAGAACATGATAATAACTGATTTTCGATTTTCAACATTGCATAGACACAGATCTGAATAAGAATAAGTATTTGTGAATGTTTAAAATGATTTCACTGTTCCAATCATAAGATACAAGTGCGATATTAATAGCGTGTCGTGTGCGATGTTCATAGAAACCAATAGAGCTGATGTTCTTATGTCAGAATAGAAGCAAACCAAAAGATTTGAAACTTTTACAATACACTACTATCACGAGAGTCTGTCTCTTTATGAAATTTCAAGTCAAAATTCGAAAATCAGTTTTTCTAGTGATCTTGAGAGGAACTCCAGCAAGCATTGAACAAGTACTGTAAAAGTACATAGTTCCTATAGAAATAAGTTAACGGTATGAACTCTTCTCAGAATATTCGTAAGTTATTTGTGTCTACTTATTACATATAGTCTGATCTCAAAAGTAGTTTGTTAACTGTAGGACGTTCCTCATCAGTATAATCACATCGTTGAAATTCGAAATATTTTTCAGCATATGATCACAGTAACGCCAATTTTTTCGTCTAGTTCATCGCGGTATATCATTGGTAGATTTTCAACCGCCATGAACATCTCTGAAAAAGAAACAAATTTATCAATGTCATATAGACAACAAAAGAAAATATATATTTATTCTTCAAAAGAAAATATTTCAAACAAAGATTTTCAAATGCTTGTTTTGTCTTTAAAAATTAAAAGAAAAACTCTTTATGAAAATATTTTTTATCGAAAAAATCTCCATTCAAATGGTTCAACTGCTGCATATTTATTTGGTAAAATCGGTGGTTTTGTTGATTTCCATGTTCCATCAATTTGTTTAGCAACACAATGCATTGATAGATATGGTACACGTAAAACAAGATATTTCAAATCATTTATCCGAGGTTGACCACCGATTAATTGTCGAGTACATACTTCAATTGTCGGTGCCTAGATAATAAAGTTTTTTTTTGCAAAAGAAAACAATTAATTTCAAACACTTACATGTCCCACAATAAGTAAATTTCCTCCATCAATTTCATGATTTTTTAAAATCGCTTTTGTTATAAAATGACTTCTTGTATAAAACATTAATTCGTCTTCATCTTTTCTAAGACTTTCCATTGGATAAAATGGTTGATAAGATTTATCAACCTTATATCCATTTTGAGTTAATTCATCTAAATCAAGAAAAGGCCATATTACCGGTACAATAGGATACCATTTGAGAAATTCAAAAAGACATGGTTCAATACGTATTGATATTTTATCACGCATTTGAAGACCTTCAAGAATTTTATCAGCTGTTTGTACACATCGTAAGGCAGGTGATGAATAAACATGATCAATTTTAATACCTTGAGCAACAAGTTCTTCACCAACTGTTTTACATTGATGTAAACCTAATTCAGTTAATGGTGGATCAAATATAAAATCTTTTATATCTTTTCGTTTAACTAATTTTTTTGGTAAATTTAAATTAATTCTTCGATAAACACCTGTCATTTTATCAAATACTTGATCAAGCCAATTAGCACCAAATGTTGAATCAACTCTTTCACCATGACGCATAATAAAAATTTTTTGAGGTTCACGTTGAGCCATTGTAGAAGATTGTTGATGTATTGTTTGAAGTGTTGTTGATGTTCTTCTATAACGTAATGAAGCATGACGAGTTAATGTATTATTATTTATATTTTGATCATGTTGAAAAATAGATTTATTCTGTATTTGTTGTTGTGGTTGTTGTAAATGTGAATTGATATTATTATTTATTATTGATAAATGTTTTTGATGTGCTAAAATAGAATCAGATAAACGTTTTTGACTTTTTCGTGTATCATATAATTGTAATACATTTTTTTCACGAAGTGATACAGTCTTGTAAAGATTTTCTAATAAAATTGTTTTTTGTGAAATTTCATCTGTTTGAGATAATGATTCATTTTCATTAGTATTTATATTATTATTTGAAATTTTAATTGGTGTAGGTGCTATCAATCCAACTGCAGCTGTACCAATAAAATTTAATAGATTAAAATGAGTTTGTTGTTGACCAGTTATATCAGCATCAGAAACTGACGCAGGTGTTGTAGCAAATTGAGTAGATGCATTTGAATACATATTAATAATAAAAAACTTTTATGTATTCACTATTATTCCATATCAATCTAAAAAATGAAATAAATGAAAAAAAAAAAAGAGCAACTACATATATGTTGATTATTCTGTGTAATTTATGGTTATCTGTCTGAATTTATAGAAAGATACGCTCAAGAGAAGGTCATAAAATAATGAAGAGACAAATGAAGTGTGAATTGAAGGGGGTGTGTATAAACGACAAATTTTTTTCGATTGACAGGTATATAGGTTACTATGTAGAGGTTCCCGTTTTTTTTTTTTATTTATAATCAATCAGGATAATCATTGTACATACGATTAGTAGTTGCTCTAGTTAACTTTAAATCTAAATATATATATAAATATATCAATAAAAAAATGTTGGTTATTCATTTAAATTTTTGTATGAAAAATTATATTTATTGATCGAATATTTATATACGATTGAATGAATAAATATAGTTTTAAGAAAGAATGCAAAGAGTAAACGTGTATGAGGTTAATATTATCTTATCAAATACAATTGAAGGTTTTTCGCACGCTGATACTATGTCTAAATGAACGCGAACAATACAGTATATACATATTGCCTTTATAATATAAAGAAAAAAAAAGAAAACGACAAATTGTCTTGATTAATTTGTTTCCTTGACAATACAAATAACACAATGACATATTATAGAACTGTATCGATCAATAAAAATTTGTCACTTTTTCTTATTTGTATGTGTGTGCTTTACAACAAGCAATTATCAAATCAAGGCAAAAAAAGAAAAAAAGAATGTATATAAAACTACCTCGAATGTTAGTCGTAAAGTAGTTGCAAATCGTATAAGTCGATCAATGATTAATCAACCAAGCAAAATTATACAATAAAATAAATAAATATTTCTATTTATCTCTAAGATTCATTATCTACTTTCGATTTTCACTGAAAATAAAATGACTAATTTAATAAAAATTTAATTAAATAAATTTTAAACAAATTGAATAATTATATTATTTCTATTAGTTTAGAATAATATTGAAATAATTGTCATAAATATTTTACTTTATAACGAATTTTTTAATAGATATTTTCTATTTTCTTGTTAATTATCATCGAGAAAATTCTAACAATATATAATTGTTTATGCTTCTATGATATCAATGAACAGATGGAAAGATCTAGTTTTATCCATAATGAAATGCTTATAACGAATGAAATCAGACAAAAAAACATTGTTAGACAAATAAAAACCAAGAGAAAAATAAATATACATATCCGTTTGTTTATGCATCTAGATAAGAACATTCTGTTCAGTGAAACGATCAAAAAAAGTAAATCATTTGAGAGCATACACAAGAAAAACTTAGCCAGATGGAAAAACAACATGATCTTATTGAAAAAACAAATTTCTTGTTAATTAGAGAAAAGAGATTAGAAAGAACGAGTAACTTGAAAATGTTCTAAATAAATATTTAAAAAAAATACAAACGGATGAAGCTATTCAAGTACTGTTGTATTTTAATAAAAATTTTTTCACAAACAAGTTACTTTGTCAAGAATATAAAACATTTTGACTATGACAACAAGACAAAGGTAGTGCAAGTAAATCTATTTAATCAATATAGAAAAAAAAAACTGATGCGAAACGAACAGATCATTGATTATTTTCCTTTAATGTAAAATACTCTTATCCTGTCATGATCTGTATTTAAAATAATATTCTTGTTTATTTTGTTTTCAACATGCCATATATCGTAGAACTCGAAATGCGCCATTCGGTCCGGTGAGATTTTTCTTCTGATATCTGAACATTCTGAACTTCTGTAGCGACGCTTAGTCAAAACTATATTTTAAATTGATTTGTGTAAGCTAAAAATCGATTAAAATGATACTAATTAGTTGAATATGATAACAATCGGATTTTTTCAACTTTAAAGATAGATTTTATTTGATTTTTATATTTTTTTAAGCGGTTTTCATAAAAATATTTTCACTCGATAAAACTATATTAGTTAATCAAAAAAAAAAAAAAACTAAAATCAATTTCAATTTATCTTTAAAGTTGAAAAATCAGAATTCAATAGCATCATTTTAATCAATTCTATTGTAATTTTTCGTCAAAATTGCTTACAATGGTTTTGCGTCTAGCAACTGGTAACAGTAGTGCATCTTTATTATTTGAATGTTTTTAAAGTTTCATTTAGTCAATAAATAAGAATAGAGTATTTATTCAGTTAAATAACGTTTCTCGTCTACAGATAAGACTGAATATACTATCGACTACATTTACCGTCAAAAGCGTAGTTGAAATAGAACAGTAGTAACTTTGTATTCAAATCAACAACATAATTAAAAATAGTGACTTATCTAGTTCTTTGAGATTGATCAACGCCCATTTTACTCGTAAAAGCTTATCTAAATATATGATAGTCTTGAAGAAGTTATAATATCCACGAGTATACTTTTGTCTTTTGCTCCAATAAGTAATGATATTTAATTATCATGCTGTTTTTTTTTCATGCATTAAAATTGTCTGTCCTTATTCAACGTATTATCATTATGATGATAATAAACTGTTTACAATGTTCTATTAAATGACTAAAGGGATTCTCGAGTTTCATTGTATAGAAGCCTTTTCTGTAAAAGACATACTTTTAATACTATCATTCTCATCTAAGTCGGTCTCTGATAGAGTAGAAACCGAGCCGGGTGGGCATGAGTAATATGTGACCTGGTGCGAGTCATCAAAAACTGGTCCAATATCGAGACTTTATACATCTCATGTTCAAATACAAATCATTGTTATAGAATAACATGGATAGTCATTTAAGCACTTTAATATATAATAATAGAAAACGAGTAAGTTTCATATCTACAACTAAAGACTGGAATTAGATTTGAGAAATAGACCTTGTACCTCAACTGAAAACGATTTTCATTAATTTCGTCAGAAAAAAAGTCAGTTTTTTAACTAATATAAAGCCAGTCAATTAACATAGAAAGTTTAATCGATTTCAACTTCGAATGAATCTTTAGGAAAGAATATAATTAAAACTTTTCAAAAGAAACATAATATAAACCTAAATGACTCTATTGAAAGCGATCAGAGGAATATATTTTTAGTATTTATGAAAATATTCAATTTTGACAGATAATTTCATACATAATTCACCAAATATGTTTAAAAAGTTTCGTCAACATTTAATTGAATGGAATCTATTTATGTCTGAGGATGAAAATTATAATGTAAACAATGGTCATTCTCAGGAAACGACTAATATTGATCCACAGTTATTACGAGAGCAACGAATTGCTACACGAGTATACGTCATATCTCTAACAAGTAAGTGAAATCTAATAAATTTATTAATATTATATAAATTATTATTTAAGCTTCTTTGTTCATTCTGATAATGTCTACATTACTTAGTTGGCAAGAAATAATCATTACAATTCATAATCCATCACTTAAGACTTATCAAAAACTTCAAGATAAATATTCAACAACTTTGAACTGTCCTTGTTTAATTAATACAATGTCTTATAAACAGTTTATAATCGCTGAAACAACGATGCATCAAATTTGTTCAAGTGATTTTATTAGTGAACAATGGATTCATGCTCTTTACATTCCTGATGCTAGTCGTTATAGTGCCATTGATTTTCGAACAACGGCAAGTTCACAAGTAAATAAACATTGCAAGAAAGTTTATTTTTAATTTGTTTTTTTTTTTTTCTAAAATATTTATTCATAGTTCGAAGTTTTAAAAACATTATGTGTATTAGCACGTGACAATATTTTTGATGCATTATTTAATTTAAATGATACACAATTGTTCTCCAGTAATTTATTACCAGAAAAACAAATCTGTACTCAAACTAACATCAGCAGTGACAGAATTCTACGTGATACAAGAATACGTTTCAATAATGCATTGAAATTAATCGAATTATCAACACAAAGTAATGTTATTTCTTCAGCACTGAATACTAATATTGTCTATTCTGCAAGTCGTTTTGCAACTTTTCAAACTTATATGTATAAATCAAGTTATACAGGATGGTATTGGACTGAAAATAATCAAACAACGATATGTGTTTGTCAGATTAATACTACATGTACTGCACCTGCTGGTTTCTATTCTTTTGCCGATAAGAACAATTTTGACCTTCATACGAAACTGGTACCTCAACAACATCATGCCTCCGATGTAGTACCTGGTTTTGTGGGTTCATGTACACCGTATGAAGCTGTTATTGAAGCAAAGTTTATTTGTCTTTATGATATAAAATGTATTAAGAAATTAGTTAATTACTTTCCACGACTTGCTCAAGTAAGAAAGATAAATCATTTGAATATTTTTAATAGTAAATAATACATGTCTATAAGAGGAAAATATAAAATAGATATATTGTCAAAAGTGTGTTTTTATTTTGCATAGTTTATATAAACATAAGAATATAGATTAATCTTATTTTCGTTATTAAAAACTAAAAGATTTAGTATTATTTCTTGATAAATAAATTTGTGACAATATTTTCTTGAAACTCTTGCATTATAGTTAAGCAAAAAAGAAAAGAAAATTTATAGATTTCTTAATGATAATTATATAACATAATATACATCTGATTTAGTTAATTCCTACAATTAAACTTCTAAATGCTTCAATAAAAAGTAAATATCTTCGAAACATAACTGTTAGTCAACTAATTCAAGAACTTTTTCTTGAACAATGGAATATCTCCATCGATTATAATCATTACTATACTGCATGTGCTCCAAAAATGTGTACTTATTCGTATAGAAAACAAGCTAATTTTGCTTATACGATTACTATGTTTATCAGTGTCTATAGTGGATTGCAGACTATTTTGCGATTTATCATTCCATTAATTGTCAAGTACATTTTAAAAAAACGACCTGATATTATCAACAATAATACTATAAATGGAACAGATACAAACAGTGTACAAAGTGAGTTTGATAATATAATTCAAAGGTTCTCTAAGAAATAATTGAACATCATCAAAATCATATATTTTATAATTAAATATTTGGAATTTCTGTTTATTCGTTTTTTGTGCATTTTGTAGAACGAATTATAGAGCAATTAGTAATTTACTTTGGTATTTTGAAAACAAGTCTTATCAATTTAAACTTATTTAAATCAACTGAAAAATCACCTGAAGCAATTCATCATCAACGACTGTCAACAAGGCTATATCTTTGTTTATTAATTGGTAAGTTTATATTTTTTTTGCAACTTGATTTCATTTGGATAAATATATATATATATGCACCAAAATGAGATTACGCCTAATCTCACATTTGAGAATAGATGCGTCCAACATCTATATCCAGAAGGAAGTTTACGTTAAAGTCTCAATTAATCTCTAGGTAAATTTCGAATTCGAATTGTTTTTAATGAACTGTATTGAAACAATGGTATTTCAGGTATTACAATTATCCATGAAGAAACTAAGCTCGAACTTAAACACTTATGAATAATTTTCCATAGAAGCTGTTTGTCTGTAGAAACTTATACATAACTTTACGAATTCTACTTGAATTTCTCGAACAATGTATGTTTTACCTGAAACACTATTGTTTTAATACAGTTCACCAAAAAGAATTTGAATTCAACATATATCTCTAAGACTAATGGAGGCTTCAACAAAAATTTATCCTTCAATCCGACATTGGATACGTCCAAAGTGAGAATCTCAGATTGGTCTAGATGGGTCTGAGATTATGAATTCTAATATTTATGTATTAAATAGGATCTGTATTCCTTCTATTATTATTCACAACAATAAGTGAACAAACAACTAGTGTAACTTATGATCATCCATCATATACTGTTTATAAACAACTCTATGTGAAATATTCAGACAAACTTATTTGTTCTTGCTCGAAAATCACTCCCAACTATGGATCATTTATTAATATAACTCCTATATATCATCCTGTATGTTCAAGTGCATTTGTGAAACCTATATGGTTAGATCAATTAAGATTAATGAAAGGTGTAATGTTTGCCATGTCCGATTGGCGAATAATGTCACTTGGCTATTTCCAATCCTTAGCTGCATTATGTGAATTAGCTCATAATACTGTAAATAATGATTTACAAGCATTTCGTACACGTACTATAGTTACAACTCGATTACTCAATGAAGATCTACTACATGGTGAAATCAATAATACATTGAAACAATTAATTCATTCTATGCAAATTGAATTCGAACGTGTCAATAATATACTTCGATTACTTTTTCAAGTTAATCAATATTTTGCAGGATCAACCTATAATGGACAACTTGAGATAACTTTTCAATCTGATGAAGAAAATCTCAAAGTAAAAAGAAAATATAAATCCATCTGTGTTATATGATTTTTTTTTTAAAGATCATCCATAATTTTTCTCGTCCTGGAAATATATTTCAAGACGCAAAATGTTTATGTGCTTTTCATGTCGGTTGTGGAGAACCAATGGTAATTGTTAGTTCTTCAACAACGATTACCGTACCAGGTTTTGTATGGCGTTGTTCAGCAATGGATTCTATTCTTTCTTCAACATTGCAATGTTTGTATTCTAATACAAATTGTCTTCAAATTATTTTACTTCGTTACATTAATTATACAAATACAGCCGTTCCTGTTCCACCACTTAATGTTTCTCAATTATTTCGAACTTCAATTAATTCAACTGTAGCCACACTAGCTGATAATCTATTTGTAGAAGAATGGAAAACATCATTATCTTATATACAATATTTTAATATGTGTGTTCCAAGTATCTGTCAATACACATTTGTTAGACGTGCAAATTATCTATATGTCATAAGAATGTTTTTAACTTTCTATGGTGGATTAACACTTGCATTAAGTTTATTAGTTCCATTAATAGTGAAACTTATTTTACGATGCCGACATCAAATAATAACTAAACAAGATAATAACAGAGGTAAAAGTTTTGATTATTTCTCTATACAAATACAAATAGAATTTATTATTTTTTCAAAAAAATATATACTAGAACGGATAGCAATAATTATTCGATTTCGTACTTTTTATCAACGTCTATCTGAAACTTTAAAAACAAAAATAACTGATTTTAATATATTTCAAACATATTCATTTGGTCGACATGTTGATCAGATTACAAGAATACGACTTGGTCGTCTTACAACTAGATTTTACATATGTTGTTATGCTATTGGTCTTACAATACTTATTTTGTATACTTCATTTGAACAACGAACTGTAACAACAAAATTTTATAATCCTTCATTATTTGTTGCTAAACAATTACAAAGTAAACAAATTGGTACAGTGGATTGTCCATGTAAACGAGCATCTATACCATTGAATGAATTTATTAATATTCAAACACGTTTTCATCAAGTGAGTGAAAAAAAGAAGAGCATCATTAATTATTGATTTAAGGATTGAAAAATTAAGAAAAATGAGAAATATCAGCAGTTTTATTAGATTTCTCAAAAAAAAAAAAAAATTGAATTTTAAAATGTTCAATACCGAAAAAGTTTATTTCATTTTAGATATGTACAAGTACGTTTATTAAAGATGAATGGCGTGAATCTCTTCTAGTTGATTTTGAGAATTTGACCGACTTTTTACGTATAAGTGATTATCGTCTTTTTCTCTCAGCACATCTACAATTTCTCTCTGGTCTATGTTATCAAGCAATTAAACATGTAAATGATACATTACGTTCATTTACATCGAATTTTCTTAGTACCAGTCGACTTCTTTCTCAATCATTGTTCGATAAACAATTATCAAACTTAACATATCAAACTGAAGCACACATACCTGCATTGTTTGTTCGTGCATTAGAATCAGTTCAAGCAATCAATCATGGCAATGTACTTATGACTGTTTATGGAAGTAATTATAAATTTGTCGCTCGAAATACTCGTAAGGGTTCGTCAACATTATTATATACATTACCAACAATTTATAATGGATCTGAAAATTGCTCATGTGAATTACAATCAAAATGTCTTTCACAAGCAGCTTTTACTTGGCCTCATTATGTTAAAGTAAAAGGTCTTTTAGTTGGATGTTTACCAAGTGAATCATTCTTAGCTTCGACACTCGAATGTTTTTTTGATATTGATTGTATCAATATTATTCGAAATCATATGTCTGGTAATGTAAGTTATTTGAATATAATGTTTTTTTTTGGTAATAAATCTTGTGATAACTTAAGAGAAACGTTTTTTTTTTAGATTTATCGAACTCGTGCAAATCCTCTCAATACGAGTTCTATAATTCATTCACGATATCAGATCAATACAACGGTAAATGATTTAGTGAAAAACTTATTTATGGAACAATGGTCAACAAATATATCCTATGACCGTTATTTTTCACAGTGTGCACCAAATATTTGTACGTATTCATATATTGATAATGCAAATCCATTGCATGTAGCAAGTACTTTGCTTGGTTTATATGGTGGATTGACAGTAGTATTAAGTTGGTGGTGTCCACAGTTCGTCGAACTTATTCATCGAATTCAAACTCGTTATAAAAACAAACGTCGCATTGGTTCTATATCTAGCGTATCGTAAATCTAATTCAAAATTAACATTGATAACAATTTCAATAGAAAAAAATGGACTAATTATGGACACTTTCTATGATTTACATGAATTTTGGTGACGTTTCAATTCAAACTCAAATTTCTCTGATTAACTTCCCTAAAAATCTGAAATTCTATAAGAACTTAGTACACTCTATGATATCTAGCGACATATGTTTTCAATATAACATAGTATTCAGCAAGATGACTCAATGCCAAATAAGAAGATATATTACTGCGTAGTCTGAATTCATTCTATTAATAGTGATGAGGTCTTTTGTGATAACTATTACTTTTATATAATAAGTGCCAACGTAAAAAGCGAGGTGCTCAAAAGAATTACTAAGTGATGCTTCTCTTATCCACTTTTAACCAATGCATGCTTCTTTGTAAATACTGATCTGTTTTTCGACTTTTTTTGTTTCATTAGATGTGAACAAAAGCGTTATATTGTCTTGCTGTCTATTACGTATTAAGGAATATGCATATCGCTAAGTGTTATAGAGTATACCAAGTATTCATAAGAATAAGATTGTTCATGACTAATAAAAGAAATTTAGGTTCGAATTGAAATTCTGATCTCTGCTTTCTATCGTTTCTGTATTACAGCAATGTCATGTTTCATTAAATAAAATTTGTATAATCTTAGCTTCTCATGAAAACAATTTTTCATTATGGAAATATTTTTGCAACGTCTGATGATAAGCACCATGAAAATTTAGTGTATGATCTGTAAAAACAAATTTAAAATAATTTTAAAAAAGCATCAATCATATAAAAATAAAAAGATATAATACTTAGATATAACGACATATCTAATGATCGGTTATTTTCAGAGAACTGGTTATTAATTGCAAATAGTGAAATTAAAGCTACGTAGTACTAAACATTAGTATATTCAATTATCTAACATATTCAAAGAAAATATTTTTCAACTCAAGAGGAAAATCATTGTAAATATGTCAGTTAAATGACAATAGTAATAAGAAGTTTAGATTAATATGACTGACTGGTTCTAAAAATTTAAAATGCATTTATTTTTTGTTTCTATATATTGTTTCGACAGAATATAGTTACATTAATTTTCGTATACTCTTGATTTTATACTAAAATGCTGAAAAAAAAAACCGAAGAACATGAATCTGTGCCGTGATACAAAGCAATTTTGAGATTGAAAATTCGATATTGAAGCATTAAAAACTGAATGACATGTTAGTGGATCATTACTTTAAATGGTCAATATGTCAAGTCGAATCGAGAAAATCTTCTTATTTTATTGAAAAAGAATAAATTATACAATTTAAGACAATAAAATTTTGCATTTGTTGTTCACTAAGTTATGAAAACTATAGTGCTTTTCTGATAAGATTTATAGATAATTTTAGTAGTAAGAAATTGTTAGAAATTTTCTTTGTTTTCTTAGTGTGATAGAATAAAAAAACAATTTCACGAAAAAAAAAAGGAATAAATACATTCTAGATTGTTGTCAAGAGTAGCTGGCATTAAAATCTTTTTAATTTTACTGATTTCATTCTTTAGAAAGAAATGTTCTTTCTGAATCCCTATCAGAGACAACAGGAATGGCGGAAGTACTTCGAGATTTCAGATGAACAACTGCATGGGGTAAAATATCAGTTTGTTGGAA